ACTTAAAGATTTCAAAGACAGTACAGAAGGTTACATAATTGTTAGCAAACCTGTGGTTTTACTATTGAGATGTTTCAGTTTTTTTAAGTAGGAAATAACCTGATTAAAACAACATAAAACTCAAACTCATTTTGATAAAACCCAGTACCTTTGCTTGCTAGGCAGAAAACGTTTTCACAATGTCTTGTCAGTAGCAGACCAAAAGTCTAAGAAAACCTTATCCTTTATAACAAATTAAAGAAAGAGGGAGAGAAAGATAGAAACATCAATGATGAGAGAGAATCATTGATTGGCTGCTTCCTGCATGCCCTCCACAAGGGATCAAGCCTGCAACTGGGACATGTGCCCTTGACTGGAATCAAACCTGGGACCCTTCAGTCCACAGGCTGATGCTCTATCCACTGAGCCAAACCAGGTAGGACTATTAAATAATATTAACTTTAATGCACTATTGATATTAAAGCTTAATTAAAAACTTCTAATAAACATTCAATCTTATCCATCTTGATCACACATAAAATTTCTTTTCTCAAGTTTCCTTTTCATAAACTTTCTACAACTTTCTGTGTCCCTTTTAGATTGTCTCTTGTTCTCTTAACCTATTCAGAAGTAATCAGGACAAAATAGCTTCATTTCCTTTAATGAAAACACATCTTCATATTTCATACCTTTTTTAAGCCAAAATATGTTCCAGTTTGCTTATATAAATAGTTGTTTTCTCCATTTCTGTAGCTTTAATAAGTATGTTAGAATTCTTAACCTTAAAAACCTTATTTTCTAGTAAAAACTAAGAAGTAAGCAATTGTGGACTGTCTGTTACTCCAGTATTTTTTTAGATTGATACATTTCTGAACATGTTTCATTATTTCTCACAGCACAATTGTTTTAATGTAGAAGAAGACATGTTCACTAATAGACTCAAATGCCTTTAGTTTATCTATACTAATAAAAGGGTAACATGCTAATTAGACTGGGTCAACCAGACATCTTCCAGTCATCCTGCCTGTCTTCTGGACAAAGCCATGGTAGTGGGGGTCAAGACAGAGGTGGTTAGGGGCAATCAGGCAGCCAGGAGAACAAGCAGCTAGGGCATGATCAGGCTGGTGCAGGGGAGCAAGTAGTTAGGGGGTGATCAGGCCAGCAGGGGAGGGCAGTTATGTGGCAATCAGGCAGGCAGGCAGAAGTGGTTAGGAGCGATCAGGCAGGCAGGTAGGCAAGTGGTTAGCAGCCAGCAGCCCCAGATTTGTGAGAGAGATGTTCGACTGCTGATTTAGGGCCCTGTGGGATCAGGCTTAAACCAGCAGTCAGACATCCCCTGAAGGGTTTCAGATTGAAGAGGATGCATGCCGGACTGAGGGACACTCCCCTTCTCTGTGCACAAATTTCATGCACTGGGCTTCTAGTCTATAATAAGAAACAAAAAAGTAGATAAATCCATTTTAAGTAATTAGTGTTTTATTATTTTATCTTATTTGAAAAAATCTAGACATTTAATGAATTTAACTTATTCAACCTAACAAAGTTATAAGATTTCAAGTTACCAAAAAATTTAGGCAACCATTTTTAAGTACATATATTATTACTGCTAAAGAGTTCACCTAAAAATTAACTTTTTATATTACTTACATTCATTTAATTTACTTGTTCTTGACATTATGTTTAGATTACTTATGAAAATTTTACCATATCAAGTTGTTTTTCTTGCTGACAAGTTTGCAACAACATAGCATGCATTTATTTAACTAATAAACCCAAGTAGAGTAAAAGTATTATAGTTAATTCTAATAATCCTAAAAACATGCCCATTTAACCAAACCAAACTCAAGCTTCAATGCCAAATATTTTCCCAGACCACATAATTCTGAAAAGAATTTAGGTTACTTTCTGTTATATTTTTGAGCATTCTTATATAAACGCTTGTTTAAGCCAACTAAATGGAGGTTTTTTAAATAAATTAACAATACAATTTGTAGATAGAAAATAACACACAATGCACATGAACATATAGAGAGACTCAGAGACCTCCTAGGCTTCACCTTAAAATCATTGCCACAAGATGGGTACGATAAAATAAAAGAACAGTTTGATCAAAGCTGTGTTTCTGACAGATGGAATAAATTAAAATTTTTCTTTAGGTGGCTAAAGATTTTCTTATTAGTATTTGCCAAGTAAACAATTAAGATTTATATTTGTCCTTAGAAAATTTTGATTTTCAGAAAAATGTTTGCTTTCAGAAAAACACCCCTTGGTTTCCTTTTTTTTCCGTTAGTCTTAGGAACTGGGGATGATAAAGACAGATGGGCTTTGAACTACTTCTTGAGCTGCCTTTCTGGTTTCACAAAGATTTTTAATATAAGAACAATTAGTCTTGCCCAGCCAGTGTTGCTCAGTAGTTGAGCATTGACTCATGAACCAAGAGGTCATTGGTTGATTCCCAGTCAGAGTACATGCCCAGTGTACCGGAGGCAGCCAATTGATGTTGATGTTTCTCTCTCATTGATGTTTTTCTGTCTCTCCGTCTCCTTTTCACTTTCCCTAAAAAACAATAAAAAGAAACAAACAAACAAACAAAAATAACAATTGCTCCCATTTCAAGTGCCATTAACCTATCTCACTACATCTTTCTAATTTATGTATTTTTTCTAGATATACAGTTCTTTTGTTGTTGTTTTATTTTAAATATATTTTTATTTATTTCAGAGAGGAAGGGAGAGGGAGAGAGAGATAGAAACATCAATGATGAGAATCATTGATTAGCTGCCTCCTGCATGCCCCCTACTTGGGAACCAGCCAAAATCCGGGCATATGCCCTTGACTGGAATCGAACCTGGGACCCTTCAGTTTACAGGCCAACCCCCTAACCACTGAACCAAACCAGGTAGTTCTCTAGGTATACAGTTTTATTTTAGCTTGGGGAGGAGGCTTAAAATAAAAAATCTATCATGGCCCTGACCAGTTTGGCTCAGTGGATAGAGCATTGGCCTCCGGACTGAAAGGTCCCAGGTTTGATTCTGGTCAAGGGCATGTACCTTGGTTGCGGGCACATCCCCAATGGGAGGTGTGCGGGAGGCAGGTGATCGATGTTTCTCTCTCATTGATGCTTCTGACTCTCTATCCCTCTCCCTTCGTCTCTGTAGAAAATCAATAAAATATATTCTAAAATAAAATAAAATAAAAAAATAAAAACAATATCATGGTCTGAATCTCAGCTTCCAAATTTGGCCAAATTTCGGATCATTGGGTTATTAAATCCCTTCAAATATCTTACCAAGTTTCAGCTGGACAAGCAGTAATGTATTTGACAGTACTAAACAATTTCACAGTGCAAAGGTCATGACCTTCCAGAGTTATTCCCTCTGAGAGCCAAAAGAAAGAACTGACAGAGAAGTGTTCTCGGCAGACATAATAATATCTAATCCCATAAAACATTCAGGTAAAGTTAACATAACTTCTTTACAAAAAGCTTGTTCAAATATTTCAATTTTTATAGTTTTATCAATCCTTACATTTCTTTATCTTTTAAAAAATCTAGCTGCAACCTGAATCAGGGCTTCACAAATGGGTTTTGTACTACTGTTCACAGAATGTCTGTATCAAGGAATCCTGAAAATTTTGTTCTTTCCTATCTCCTGACAATTTTACCCAATTTTATGTAAAAAGGTTCTGGGTCCCAGTGAGAAGTCAAGCCAAAAGAAAGTAGACGGTTATTAGGTCCTATTATCAATCTTAAACTTGATTTCACTTTAACCAGCCTGACTGCTTCCCCTGAAATTGATGGGAAGGTTTTCCTTTTCTGTTTTTTTTCCCCAAACTGGGACAACTAGAACTTACTTTTGTGGGGCCCTTTGGTGTTGTGGTGATCAACAAGGGTTCTTTTTCTTTCTTTTTTTCCCATTTAGCCTTTGGAAATGCTATAGTAAAGCCTTGGTGTTAACACCATCAATGTTCATTTTACTTATCTAAATTATTAATAATCATCTAAAGATTTCCATCCTGCTGGTATGATTCCTGTGACTCTCCTGCCTTCTCTTCAGTTCACCCTTATCAACTTATCAATATTTAAAAATATGTATCCCATCCTGTTTATTTGATTTGGAAGCCCTTGCTTTTTCAGTGAACTTTAAATGACCTAATCTAATTGTCACATTCCTCATCACAGACATTGTAATTTTAGGTTATAATTTCCTTGAGGGTTGGCCGCAGTTTGGTAAAACCCTAGCTATAAATGGAGTATAGCCCACATTCTGTCTGGTCATATTTTGGAGCTTCCAACCTGATAGTTACCAAGTCAAGTTCTTAAGACATAAAATTTTTAGGCTGTCTTTTAGTAAGATTTTGCCGTTCTTTGTTTTGTTTTGTTTTTTCTTTCTAAGTGCAGGACAATTGTGCTTGGAGTATCCTGATTTTTTACAATATCTGCAAATGTCTGAATGCAAAGAAAATGGAATCAGAGGAGACTTTGATTTTTATTCTAATTTCTGTTTTTTCTCTCTTATTAAGGGAATCTTACTGACTAGTCATTATGACAATGCGAGAGCTCCCTAAGGAAAAATTTTTTTTAATTCAAAAGTTATATCAAAGACAGAGATAAAGAATGAAAAGGACCCATAATCTGACCTTGATGATTAGTATCTTAATAGCTACTCAAAGCAATAAGCCTTTTATGGCTTAACCAAGAAAGCAAGAGAATAGTCTGAGAAAGCAAAGACTGTTTGTTGCACAGGTGGTAAGGATGGTGTAACTCTGGTCTCCCACAAATGTGGGTCACCTCCAGCCACCAGCCCGCTAATTCATGGCACAGGGCAGGCAGTACTGGAATGGAATTTTCCCAGAACGACCAAGTAACAAAAGGTTAAACTACAAAGACCCTTTATGGGCTGAGGTCCTGTATGATAAACTTCCCTAAAAGTTGGCGTGATTGAACAAAGAAGACCAATATGCCTTTTATGGCTTAGCCAAGGCTTGGAACTAACCTATTCAACTGGCCACCAGATGCATACCTGTAAGCGCATCTTCTAAATGGTGGAGACCAGAGAAAATATTCTCACTGGTCATAATGACCAAGCTCTCAGGACATATAACAAGATGAAAGGAGAGACACTGGACAGAGATAGAGAATAACAGAATTAACAAAACCATGAATATGTATACCAAATAACTAAGACTCACTAAACCCAAGAAACTAGTTTCACAAATATTTTCTCCTGATAATCTAAAATTAGAAAATTTTAAAAAGGGTTCTCACCATTCTGCTTTCACTAAACTCATGAGGAAGAGATTTGGCTGTCCACCTTAGCAAGAAGCCTTATCTTTGCCAAGCATACTAGAGGTCCCAGGATCTTTCTACTGCAGCACCCAGCCAGTGAAGTATCCTGCTCCAAGTACCAACTGTGAGGGAGAAAGAAATTTTCCTTTACCCTCAAGGTTCCTTTGTCTGGTCTAATAATCAAACAGACATGAGACAGATAGATAAGACAAAACAACCAAATTTAATATGCACATAGTATGCATTGGAACCTTATGCACATGTGAAAGTCAGAAATCTTGCATACATGACAGGTCAAGGGACAGAAAGTTAAGATGAGGTATGTATGGCATTCAAAGCCAAAAATGAAGTCTTTCGTTGGACCTTTAAGGGTCATTGCTGTATGATAAGAAGAGCAGATGCTTAGAAATTAGTCATGTGTCCTGCCCAGCAGAAAGGTCATAAAAAGTTATTATGCACAAAGCCTCTAATTTAAATTCTGTACAAAAAAAAATAAATAAAAGTCTCTCATCAGTCTGCTGAACTCAGTAAACTTCAGCTCAAAGTAATGTATATGCTACAGTGACACATTTTGGAGAGATCTGCCCTGACCCCCATATGGCCACACCCTAGGGAAGGAGTTCATCTTGAATCTTAATTTATTCCTCCAATTTTCAAATTTCAGCTACAGTTTGTAGTCTATACTTTACAACAGTCAGGAACAAAGATAAAGAATGAAAACTATTGGTAGATTTATGATTTGTTTATAACTGTAAATGAAAAAAAAAGGGTTCTATGGAAAGTAACCTCACAGGGTAACCTGATCATAAATTTCTAACTACGTAGGTCATGGTGAGTAGTCATGCTCCAGGCATAGAAGTTTTTTATTAACAGGTTTATCTTTGCTAGAAGCAAGCCCTGTCCATTGATTCTGTTGATAAAGACTAACTGGAACTTTAAGGAAATATAATCCATCAGAATGGTCTATGGGAGAAACTAGGTCTTCTGGACATTCTCACCTTAAGTGCAAGAACCCTACATGTGAGAATTCCTCAGGAAGAAATGTATGTTTATAATAAAGGTCTGTGGTTCTAACTTCCCCTTTCCTGATCTTCCCTTTTTCTATTATAAATACTCATCCATGCTGGCACCAGGCAGAGTGTGCATGAGGCTTGCTGTATCTGCATGCACTGAGTCACAATCCCTTCTATTTCCCCAAATAAACCCTTTTTGGTGATGAAATACCTAGTCTACATTATTTTTCAGTTGACATTGTGGGGGATAATCCAACATTCCAAGAGGAGAACAATCTGATGGCTTCAGGGTAGGTGAGCAACCAGGTGCTGGCACTCACAGAGAGTCGTTTTGGCTCACTGCTTGGCTTTTGATTTAGAAGCTGATGGTGAGTCTTCTGGAATTGAGCTTCTGCCTTTTGCGTTCTGAAGCTCTCTGGGCTTTATTCAGGAATCATTTAGAATTTTTTTGGTCAAACTTGTTGTTAAGCGGTCTTGCTTGTTTGTCTTGTCTATAAGTACTTGATTTTGCAAGTTGGCTTGATTTCTTTGGAAACAGGTTGTCTTTCAAGACTAAGCTGGCTTTTGCCTAAAGATCCCTTTGGGGACAGAGCTTATTTCTACCAAAATTAGTCAATTTGGCCCAGTATTAGGATGTGTTGTCTCACTGAGAAAAGTTCCACTTAGCACTCAGCTCAGCCTATAACTGGACTCTCCAAGAGTAGTTGTTTTCCTAGAGCAGGCTGTTAGCCTCAGACCTAGTCGTCTGTGATTAGATTGTTCTAGAGTGAGAGGCTGGCGGACTAGTATCTGACCTGTAGGTTGCTCAAACTTTGTAAATATTCTTGGGTTTTGGCTCTAGGGAAAAGCCACTAAAACAATGGGATCTCAGCTATCTAAATATATAAAGAGCACACCTCCTTCACCAGGGACTCCAGCCAACTGCTCAGTTAAAAGCCACAGGTAATTTTTATGTGCATATTTAACTAAATGGATTGGTCTCACTGAAAGTAATTCAGAAAATCAGTGGCCACTCCAGGAACCTTTGAGATTCCCAAACTTAATTTTCCTAAAACAGAAGTGGACAATGATAGCACTAAAATTGGTAAAACTGAATGGAATACCTATTTTGAATGATATTCTGAGGCTTCCAACTGGTATAAAGAATCTGAAGTTGCCTT